TTTGGCGAATTTTTTTTTATAACATTTAAAATATTTCTTGTGACTTTTTTTGTTTAGGGCGAACCCTAAAATTGTTTTCAACTAGTTTTTACTATGTAAAATTTAATTACTGGAACAGGAGAATAGATTTTCCTCAAAATAGCGACTTTTTCCACACTTTGCACTTAAAACTGTAATATAAATATTAGGGAGTTAGATTTCCCCGTATATAGAAGAAAGAAGCTGCAAAAATCAGAAGGCCATTTTAGATCATTTTCTTTAGGCTCTGTCAAAGGCGGACTACAAAATCATTTTCGGTTTTCGCATGGTCAATGTGAAAATCTTCCAAGGTGACAAGTCTCCATAAGATTGCGATACTGGAGAGGTTGAAGACGCGAGCCAGTTTCTGAGAAGATAAAAATCGAACTGTATGTAAAATTGGTATATCGCAAAGAATGAAACGGATTCGAAACAATAGTTTCCCAGAAAATAATTTTTTTCACAATTGGTCCGGTCAAATTATGTAGACGACATGGTGTTAGCCTTACAATAGAATTCGCATANCCAGTTTCTGAGAAGATAAAAATCGAACTGTATGTAAAATTGGTATATCGCAAAGAATGAAACGGATTCGAAACAATAGTTTCCCAGAAAATAATTTTTTTCACAATTGGTCCGGTCAAATTATGTAGACGACAACATGGTGTTAGCCTTACAATAGAATTCGCATAGAGATGAAATATGGTACAGCTTTTAGGTACGCTATAACAAAAATATGTTCAAAATTTCATCCGTGGTCAAAGGCCTCTAATTCCGGTCTTACTATGAAGAGGGACTTTTTTCGCTATTTCAATTTTATTTCAAATTTTATTTCGTTACCTTACTTTATTTTATTTGACTTTAGTCTTTATTTATCTTATTTGACTGTGCTCTATAAGGTTTTATTTCTTTTTTTGTTATATTTAAATTTTATTTTTATTTTATTTTTATTCTATTTACTTTTAATTGTTAATTTTATATTTTATTTTAATTTATTTTATTGGATTAAATTTTTATATTACATATTTTATAACAATTTATTTCATTTTGATTTAATTNCCGTGGTCAAAGGCCTCTAATTCCGGTCTTACTATGAAGAGGGACTTTTTCATGACTTTTTTCGCTATTTTAATTTTATTTCAAATTTTATTTCGTTACCTTACTTTATTTTATTTGACTTTAGCCTTTATTTATCTTATTTGACTGTGCTCTATAAGGTTTTATTTCTTTTTTTGTTATATTTAAATTTTATTTTAATTTTATTTTTATTCTATTTACTTTTTATTGTTAATTTTATATTTTATTTTAATTTATTTTATTGGATTAAATTTTTATATTACATATTTTATAACAATTTATTTCATTTTGAATTAATGTTTCTATATTTTATTTATTTATTTTTTTAATTTTTTATATTTAATTAAGTTCAATTTATTCTTTTTAATTAATTTTTATTATTTTTCAAATTTAATTTTTTTTACGTTTAACTTAATTCAGTTAAATTTGATTTTGTTTTATTTGAGTTAAATTTAATTTACTTATTTTTTATTGTATTTTATTTTATTTTACTTTATTTTATTCTATGTCATTTATTACAAAATAATTCTATTTTATTAATTTCATTTAAATAAATAACATTTCTTCATTCACTTACCCGATACAAATGAAATCTCCGACAGCATAATCCATTTCACGGCAAAATATAAATTGATTTTCAAATATCTACCAACGCGATGATGCAATTTAATGGTGACATCTCGCGCGTGATCCATTATGGTGTCTGGCATGTATGAAAATTGCACCGGTTCACCGGAGAAATGTCGTCCACCAATACTGAAGAAGACTTTGGCGCGCACGAATACCTTTTTGTTCAAATTAAAAGAAAAATAAAAAAGGTATTAAATTTAATAAAAAGTATATACTTTTTCATAATTTAAACATAAGAAGGATAGAATTAACTTTTTTGCCAATCAGAGAAGTGTGTTGGCTTGAGGAGTTCAAGTGTATCGCAAATACTTCTCGTACTTATATATTTTTTTATTTTTTTGCTTTTTAAAACATATAAAGGCACACGACTCACCTGCACATCTTTGGTGAACATATTATTCGTGTGCAAAATAATTGCACTAAAATTTCTCACTGTATCGAATTCGAAAATAATTTCAACCGGTTTGCCACTCAAATCGGGTGTATCATTACGCCAGCCAATCCATTCATAACCTGGAAATATAAAACGCAGATATTTGTAAAATACGAACATACATTTTCAATAGTTGCACTCTAAACTGATTCAGTTTAATGCCTTAATTAGTTCTATTTACACCTCAGCTGGTGGTTGTAAACTTTCGGTAGTGAAGGCTTCATTGTAAAGCATATTTTTCAATGCTTTTTGGAAAATTATTTCTTTTCAAAAACTTACGTTTATAAATTTAACTATTTCTAAAAAAAAAATAGACGAAATTAAAAATCAAACATTTGTGCTTCCTGCTAGTGTGCGCCGCTGCGTATACGCAACATCATTAAACAATTTTGCACAATTCTAATACATTTCATTTCCTTTAGCTTTTTAAGCATTTTGTCGAAACTGTCGCTTGTAAAACTATGTAGGACGGCTTTATTTTTCTACTACCTAGTACTTCCCTTCTTGCATAAAAATTCGTTGACCTCGAAGTGATTTCACCATGGAAACTCGTTTTTTTTTTATTTACTTTATTGTATGTAAAACGAAAGGAGTTCAAAAATATTCCACATTAAATGACAACGCACACCCACCCCACCCGCTTGCGGCAATGACTTTCAATGAATTCATAAATTCCAGCACATGCTAAATATTATGGTAAGAAATGCCACTGCCATTGCAACCCCGCTCCTCCCTACCCGGCGCTCTGCAATCACTTAGCACACCTGTGTTACGCATCGTTGCTTGCTTGCTCATTAGACGCATCGTAAAATTCAAAACAAAAACAAATAAACGATAAAGTACACAGAACAAGCGAGGAGCGAAGGCAAAGTGCTGTAGAGTACATATTTGGCTAAAAATAATTTGCTTTTCTCCCTGCACGGCCCCCTCTCCACCAGCGCAAAACAACTGGAGCAAACAAAGTCAGTAACAAACTGTCAAACGACAATAAATGAAGTTTTTTTTTGGAAGTCAAGCTGGGGTGGTAAATTACACACACACACACCTAAAGCGCAAGAGGAGGCAAGAAAGGCTGTAACTAAACGAGTGCGTCACGACATTTAAACCTTTTACTTTTCCCTGCAAAAAATTGTGCGACTAATCTCTAAAGAGAGTATTCCGAGATTACTCTCAATCGGGTACAATTGGGCTTTAATTAGTCGCAACTAGTCTCATACAGGTACTAATGGAGGTCAATTAGTCTCGACTCATGCCCTTATGGGTATAATTGGAGATCAATTAGTCCCCAACTCATCTCTCAACGGGTACTATTAATGATTTAATGATATGTACGCACTTAGTCAATGAAATTTCATGTGCGGCGTTGGCACACAGAGAGACTATCCGCCTAACAAAACTGAGCACCCCGTTCGAATCTCAGCTGGCGCAAATTTTTATTTTTATTTTTTAAAAGTGACTAGTCGCTTTTTATACCCATTCGGGTATAAAGGTGAACAATTAGTCTCTTCATAGGACATGCTCGAACAAAAGCGAACAGTTCATTCCATATAAAGAGATCAAAAGTGGTATTAGTCGCATGCTCCTTTGCGATTGCTCCCGGAGTCATCTCGGATTAGTCCAATTTTTTGCAGGGTTACGAAGCGCGTACCACCCAATTGCTAAGTATTGTATGTATATGTGTGTATGTTGCATATAGTTAGGCGCACAAATTTTTGTACGACGACAGTGTAAAACTGTAGTGAGACTTTACTTAAATTATTTGCAGACAAAGTAGGTAACTCATTTGCTTTCCTAACAAAGCAAGCTTACCATAGACAAAAGGGAAGGAGGAATATTTTTGGAAAGAGAAAATAATAACAAAAAGTAATGTAAATAACTACGTTGCATACTTTTACATGTCAAGGCATAATAATAACGAGCCCACAACCCCTGTATTCACGAAAAGTAAACATGACGACGAAACGAAGCTGAAAATATTGTAGCAAAATGATGAAGAAATATGAAAATGCATAGTAGTATATAGTGGCTTTATTGTAGAGGAATGTCATTGTGTACAAAAGTCATGCAATACTGACTTGCAAACAAACACGAGGGGGCGGCAAAAAATACGCGCCCCAAAATCAGCACACCCTCAAACTCCTGCAAGCATAGCTAACTAAATTGCTCGGACCGGCTACTTGCATGAAACAATAACAACTCGCTGGCTGTCGCATGGAAGAAACCCAAAATGTAAGTAGGAAATATTTTATATACCAACCGCCCACTCCAAAAAATCAACAGTCGAAGCGTACTTGCAGCAAAGTCACAAAACTTTCTTTTTTTTTGGGAAACTAAACTGACAAATTCTGCTTGCTGGCAAACAAAAATAAACAAAAAAATGCTCGTGGCACTACAACAATAATATCTCGCTGCTCGAAATACGAAGCGAATTCAAATAATTGACAGACAAGTCTTGACGCGCCAAATAAAAGTACATAAACAAAGCGAAAAGAAAAAACAAAAATATGTATGTATGTACCTAACTAATAACGTCTCGACTTATTGAAAATCAATAGAGAAGTAAGGTATTGAGCGATATCTTCATAACTGATTGCCGCATGCCACAGGATGTGTGTGTTCCATGCGGCTTTGTACAGCCCCTCTTATCGGAGTTTCTTTTGTACGAAATTTGTCACCGACAGCCGCCGCATAGTTGAATTGGCATTTAGCTTTCCGGTAGACATAATAACAAGTTCGTATTGATTGTTGTCGCATAAAACTGGAAAAATCATGCGCGCAAACTTGTGAGACGGGGGGGTTGAAAGAATATTTGCTTTCTGAAGATTCTTTGATTCATTGTACGCGATTAAGGCGGAATGTGGTTATCTATGTACTTTAACTGTTTACTGAGTTGATTTTATTTGATGTGTTAATCTTAAATTTACTTGCAGGTTTAAAATAATATTTGAATTAACTTATGAATTGCAATTAAGACAACCAAGATTACAAAGTTTTATTTTTTTTACTTTTTTCAAAATTTCCCACAAAAGGGAAATTTTTGAAATAGCTGCAAACTGTTTAGAAGTTCAAGAAATGATAAAAGCTCTTTCTTAAAATCGTTTACAATCAAAAATGAAAATTTCCCACAAAAGGATTTTTTTTTTAATATGCGCAATTTTATTTTGCTTGAATGGGCATCACGCTCTTGCAAAAGGTAATGAAAGGAGGGTTTTTCTAATTTTCAGTATATTAAAAATTTCTTGTAATTTTATGTTGTATTTTATTTTACTTTGGGGAGTTTAATTTAAGAAATTTATCAATATTTTGGCTACACAATTTTCCTGAAACCTGCTAGTTACAGATAACCTTCTAGTCAATATAACATTATAACATTTACTGTCTTAGAAAATCTGAAAGCTTGTTTTTATTGAAATGCTTGCCCTTTGAGTCACAAAGAAAGAATATTTGTAGTTTTTAACATACACATTTTCCACTCGCCTAATAAGGAGATACACCCTTGGTCAGCTGATTAAGCTAAGTGACATTTTGACCACTTTTGGATATTTTTCTTTTGTTTGTTTAATGTTTATAATTTTTTTATAAAAGTCTAGCACAATACATAACCAGCGCCACATAAATCTGCATTTCTAACTTCGTAAAAAAATTATAAAAATTTAACAAAATTTAACCATTACACCCAAAAATTGTAAACCTTTTATGCATAATTTTTAGAAAAACATTAGCTATGTAGTTCTCTAGCCCAGTAAATTTTCGGGCAAATTTCCAGACGACAGATAATGGCGTCGATTTTTAATAATATTTTATGCTGACGCTGCTAGGCGTTTTCTTCCATATAAAAGTACCGAATTGTCACTAAAATCAACGCGATTTCCTAGCGTCTCGAAATTAACAAAATCCCGTCTCTGGTTAAGAAGAAAGAGAATACCAAGAACATTATCCACACATATTTTGGACAAGTCTTGTACTAAGATTTTGTCCTCCTATTTTACCCCATCAGATACTTTCTTCACAATTTTTTCTAGTTTTCACATATTTTAATAACTTACAACTTAATCTTGTTTATGAATGCGAATTAAACATTTCCTAAAAGGGAAATTTTTTTAACTTAGTTGATTTCATAATGAAACACTTAATGTTCCTTTTGCAAAAGTTTCCTTTTAGTTTCTTCATAATTTTTTCTAGTTTTCACAAATTTCCTAAAAGGGAATTTTTTTCTAAAGTCTAAAAATACAACAAAGCAAAACATATTTTAATACCTGAAAATTTAATCTTGTTATGAATGCGAATTAAAAATTTCCTAAAAGGGAAATTTTTTAACTTAGGGCTGATTTCATAATGAAACACTTAAAGTTCCTTTTGCAAAAGTGTCCTTTTAGTTAAAGTGTCATTTAGATGTACTTTAAACACAAAGTGTTTTCAATTGAATAATAACAAAAGGTTAATTTAAATGGAAATATAGTTGGCAATGCTGATCTTGGCAAAATTGCATCGTATCATTGTCATAAGTATGTAATTATAACTACGAAAATCACATACCTATTTTTTTTCTTACAAACGGGACCTTTGTCACTTAAATTTTCATTTTGGGTATTTAACCAAAGGGCACCTTTATATTCAAAGTAGCTTTATGACATCGATCAGCAAAATAAAGCATACTTTAAATTTTAAAATATTCTTTAATTTTATTATGAAATCGGCCCGTATATAAATTTCGTTTTGAAACTCCACAACTACATCTCAACCCCCTACCACATCCGAAGCCATCGTTGCTCCTTCCAAAAAGTTGACAGCTGTTCCGCAACCCCCTGTTCCGCAACCCCCTACCACATCTGAAACCGTTTCCGATTGCGTTAACCCCGTCCCGAGGGATTTAATCGTTGTCCCTTCCAAAAAATCGGTCTTTATATCTAGGTTTTCAAAAGATACCACTGTCGATGATGTGAAGGGGTATTTAACTTCCAGGCTGATAGCAAATGAGTTGCATGTACGCAAGTTCAGATTCTCGTATGAAAGAAGCATTTCTTCTTTTAAAATAGACATATCCGAAGACTGCTTTGATAGAGTAATGAGCCCATCTTTTTGGCCAAGCGGTGCCTTCATTCGCGAATTTGAATTTAGATCTAGACCGCAAGGGCAAAATTTGGCTCAACTTTCGCTTTCCACCTCGGCATCAAAAAACTAATAAGTAACCTCACCATTAGCATTTACTACCAAAATGTGAGAG